TTTTCTCCGCGCCGACGTCGCGAATGTATCGCCGACGTCGCCAGTACATGGCCGATGCATCGCCAATGCATCGGCGATGCATCGCCGATGTACTGGCGATGCAGCGAGATCCTCCGACCCTATTTCCTCGGACTCCATCGAGGAGGCCTCTGGTCATGATTTGTTCATGGCCCGAGGGGTCTGGGAAGAAGGCCTTCTCCTTCTCAGTTCTTCCCCTCGCTCGCCACCGACCAATGGTACGGTAGGTTTGCGTCGTGTCGACCGGCGGCGACCCCAGCGCGGGCGTTCAAGGTTGAACGCCGGCGGCGGCCCAGAATCGGTCGATGTTGAACGATTGGACGTTGCGGGAACGGCCGATCGTTCAAGGTTGAACGATCCAGCGCGGTGTCAGAAACCAACGCCGGGGTCGACACGGCACGGACCTGCAGTACTCGGACTCCATCGAGGAGGCCTCTAGTCATGATTTGTTCATTGCCCGAGGGGTCTGGGAAGAAGGCCTTCTCCTTCTCAGTTCTTCCCCTCGCTCGCCACCGACCAATGCTACGGTAGGTTTGCGTCGTGTCGACCGGCGGCGACCCCAGCGCGGGCGTTCAAGGTTGAACGCCGGCGGCGGCCCAGAATCGGTCGATGTTGAACGATTGGACGTTGCGGGAACGGCCGATCGTTCAAGGTTGAACGATCCAGCGCGGTGTCAGAAACCAACGCCGGGGTCGACACGACACGAACCTGCCGTACCTCCTCCTCCTCCTCCTCCTCCTCCTCCTCCTCCTCCTCCTCCTCCTCCTCCTCCTCCTCCTCCTCCTCCTCCTCCTCCTCTACATCGGTGCCCTCACCGTATGACCGGGGCCCTCCTGGGCGAGAGCACAGGCCCCTGTCGGCCGCCAACCGGCCGGGTTCACGAGAGACGAGGCCCCGAGACGCGCCCCCCCCCGCGGCCTGGGGTCCCCCCCCCCCCCCAAAACAACCAGCAGCATCCCAAGGAGAGGCTGGCTCGGGAGATGCACCCCTAGACGTGCTCGCGCCGTGAGGAGAGCACATCGGGGCGGCAGGTTTTTTCTCCCCGTGTTCGGCCTCTTGGGGTCCCTGCCGGAGCGCTCCAGGACCGTCCACCGGCGATTCGGGCTGGAAGGCCCGTGCCGGGGAAAGGGTCGGGACTTCTGGGCACCGCGTGTTGAAACCACCAGGGCGTCGCCTGTCTGGGCCCCTTCCCCGAACCGCTCGTGCCTGGGGGGAGCTGTGGTCCGGACCCCCCGGGGGGCGACCCCGCGGCTCCGGCAACTCTCTCGAAAGACCGTCGACACGGCGGGTTCCGCCAGCTGGGGGGGGAGGAGCACGTCTCCCCCAGTTGTGGTTGGTCGGCCCACGCAGGAGGACGACGGGAGTCTTCCTCGTGGCGCAAGCGTAGCAGTCGTCATCCGGTCCACGGCGGTACGGGCTCCGACCGTGTCTTACCACTGCCCCCGCGTAACGGTGCATCGAAACATCTCGTGACATTCGTGATGGGCCCAGGCATGGGTCTCGTGTGGAGAAGCAGTCGCTATGTCGATTGAAGCAGCACTCCACGAAATTCGCCGCCACTCGAGCTTCACCATCGAAGCCCGAAACACAGAAGGAAGCAACAGACACGTTGATGCTATGCTGAGCCCCTTCATATGCCGTCGGAGCATCTTGTTGGATTCCTGCGAGTCTCTGGAATCTTCAGGAGGCTTCCTGGGGGGCTTCTCAGAGGTTTCTTGAGACCTCTTAGGGGCTGTCTTGGACCGACCGTTCTGGGTCGCTATACAACTGATGTCTTGTAGCTGTTCGGGCTTCCCTGACAGCATCCCTGTGAAGGCTTCGTGGCCACTGCAGTCAAATTGGATCAGTCGTTCGATCCCTCCAAACCCAGGGTGCCCTTGTGCCCTGTGTTTCGCGACTTGTGGACGCTGCATTCCTGTGGCAATGTGGCCCTCGGAAGAGTCTCTTGTGCCCTCTCGCGTGTCCTCTCCAGTCGAGCTGTCAAGCTCGACTGCATTCGAGCCGTCCTGTGTCGGCCGCGCGGCTACTGCGCGGAGCACGTCGGCGCCTCTCGTGGCGATGCCCGCTGTGTGTGTGTGCGTGCGTGCGTGCGTGCGTGCGTGCGTGCGTGTGTGCATTGGTGTGTGCGTGTGCGTGCGTGCGTGCGTGTGTGTGTGTGTGTGTGTGTGTTTGTGTGTGAGTATGTGTGTGCGTGTGCTTGTGTGTGTGAATGTGTGTGTGTGAATGTGTGTGTGTGCGTGCGTGCGTGCGTGCGTGCGTGTGTGTGAGAGAGACAGAGTGCGTGCGTGCGTGCGGCGCGGCGCAGGTGGACTATGCTTCTCCGTGCGAGGCGGGCGGGCCTCGGGGAGCGCTCGTCTCCCTGCCCCTCCCTCTCGCCCCCCGCCTCCGGTCGTCTCTCTCCCGTCCCCTCGCCTCCCGTGTTCTTGGCCACTGTGGAGAGGGGATTTTTGCCATGGGATGGGATGGGAGGGAGGGGTATGACGTCAGATGCGACGCGCGCGCGCCTAGCTTGCATCCGTCTCATCGCCTCCCTTCTACACGATGTGTCGCCACGGCCTCTGCGCCGACGCACGGCTTTTCGTCTTGGGGAGGCCACCTCGACCACGGGGGCAAACACCGCCTCTGGCGCAGGGCTTGCCGTAAAGCTTGCCGCGGTGCCAGCGTTGTCTTTTTGGGGCTTGGAACGCAGGGCTTGCGGTGGGTTTGCTGTGGTGTCGCCGTCGTCCATGCTGGCGCGTCGACGACAAACGGTGCGGCGCGCGACGTGTGGTCTTCGGGGCGGTCCGCGGATAGAGAAGATCAGCGCAATGGGAAGGGATGGGAGGAAGGGAGGAAGGGATGGGATGTCAGATGAGGCGCGAGTGCAGAGCACTTCTCAGAAGGCCAGCGGGCTTCTGAGAAGTCCCGCCACCTTCTGAGAAGGCCTCTTGCTTCTCACACTTCCCCCCCACGCTCGCCGCCGACGATCGCCTAGTGCGATTCTGGTGCGATTCGAGAACCATTTGCTGGAGTTTCTGGCTCGCCTTTGGCCCGCTGTGCCAGCGAGTTGTTTTTGTCCTTCCGCACCCTCTGGTTGATGCTCGCACTTACGGCTGAGACCCATGCCAGGAAACACCCTGCTTGCCGCCAGGGTGCCCTTGATTTCTTGGATTTCGATGGTTTTGTTGTGGAAAAGGTGACGTTCCCACACCAAACATCAATGGACGTCCTGGGGTCTCAGGGTTGGGTTTCTTGTGGTCGGGCCCCTACTTTGGGAGGAGGGGGTGGAGGAGGAGGAGAAGGAGGAGGATGAGGAGGAGGAGGAGGAGGAAGAAGAGGCGGGCATGGACGACGAGGAGGATGAGGATGAGGATGATGGATGATGATGATGATGATGATGATGCTGATGATGATGATGATGATGATGATGGAGGAGGAGAGGAGGAGGAGGAGGAGGAGGAGGAGGAGGAGGAGAGGAGGAGAGAGAGGAGGAGGGGAGGAGGAGGAGGAGGAGGAGGAGGAGGAGGAGGAGAGGAGGAGGAGGAGGAGAGGAGGAGGAGGAGGAGGAGGAGGGCATGGACGAGGCGTGGACGAGGATGAGGAGGAGGAGGCGGGCATGGAGGAGGAGGAGGAGGTGGAGGAGGATGATGATGAGAATGATGATGATGAGGACGATGAGGAGGAGGAGGCGGAGGAGGACGACGAGGATGAGGGCATGGACCAGGAGGGCATGGAGGAGGAGGAGGAGGAGGAGGAGGAGGAGGAGAAGGAGGGCATGGACGAGGAGGGCATGGAGGAGGAGGACCGGTCTGGCCTCCTCGGTAGGCGGCCCCGTGGATCCAGGGCGGCGGTGCGCACGGACGCCCCGCGCGGCACGTCGCCGCGGCGTCGCTTTTTTTCATTGGCTCGCGCCTCGGTGGTGACGCAGACTATGATGGCCTCCCAGAGCGAGGCGACCACGCCACGCTCCGACGCCGCGGAGTGGCCTTGCGACCCCGGGGCGCCAGGCGCGAGCGGCCCCGCCGCGAGCGCCCCGCTGCGGCAGCTCCCCGTCACCGCCTTGTGGCCGGGCGCGCAGGCCCGCGAGTCACCACCCACCAAGCCACCCAATCCCAACCCCAAGGTCTCAGTGTTCCTCCATTTCCAGTGGGGGGGGGGATCGGGGAACATTGGAAAACAAATGGAAGTACCCCCCGAACCCGAAATTCGGGTCTCTGGGTTGGGTCGGGATGGTCTGGTAGGTAGTCAGACTATGATGGCATGCGTGTGGTCGGGGAAACGTAAGGCTCGAGTGCGCTGGAGTTTGGGTTTGCCGACGCTTTTTGACGAGCGCGTCTTGGGTTTTGACGGTCCAGCGTCCGTGGGACGTTTGCAGCGGGAGGTCGCGTCAAATTTCAGATTGGGTCTTATCATTTTCATGATGGCCCCGTCAGGCCAACCCGAGTCCCACGAACCCGAGTCTTACGTCTCCCCGATATGGGTATGTTCGTCGCTCCTGGGTGTGGTTTCAGCTTCGCTATGCAGGCGTGGATGGAGAATGATGAGGACTGACAGGGAGGTCGAGGGGAAGCGCGCCATGTCGCCATGTGGTCACCACGGTTTCGTCTTTCATGTGCGCCGCACGCGGAACCGTTCATTGCCGTTCGGCGCAGCCGTTTGGTCTCCCAAAGAGTCGGGCTTTTTGTTCGAGCGGCATCTGATCTAGGGCGGCGGTCAGGCTTCGAAGGCGCGCCTGTTCTCTTTTCCAAGCCCCCCTGTCGACATGTCTTCTTTTGCCTCGCAGATTCATGGGAAGAGTCAAGCATGGCCGCTCGGCGTCGCATCGTGAAGTGGTAATGTACTCAGGGGGCTCGTGATGGTTCAAGTGTCTGCGTCGGTCTGCAGCCTGCCATCGTGAAGCGGCACCCGTGCTGTGACGGTTCCGTACCGCGGCCAGCACATCAAATCAGGACGATCCATTGTTCCGTTGCCATTTTGGTTCAAGCCATTTTGGCTCAAGTCTTCGGGCGAGACTCTAGCCATGGCGCCTCGCGTGGTACGCACAGGGGCGGTGGCGCTCGGTTTGCTGCGTGTGGCGGCAACCGAAGAGCTTCCTCCTGTCGTGAAGGTCGGCGGGGTCTACAACGTGGGAGTAGGGCTTAGGCTTAATGGAAAGACCCCGTTCGATTTGTGGGCTGAGTAGGCAAACAGAGACAGCAACCCCAACTTCACTGTAAGACCGGCGACGCAATGGTAACGTCAGTCGAGGGATTATTGTCCGATGAAGTGCATGCCATTATCCCGCCGTGCATAACGGCCCTGTTCAAGGCCAGGATCGAGGCTGTGTCGGCGTGCAGCACTATCCCGATCTTGGTGCGGGGCGGGACCATTGACTCGATCTTCACCGAAAGCTGCGTCAACTGGAAGTGCTTCGGTAGCCTCAGTGTTGCGTTTGACCAAGATTCTGACGGCGGCTGGAGCGAACATTGGGGCTGGGATAGTCACGAACAGCAGCGGTTTCAGGGCAAGGGTGACAGCATTCATCGAGGCGACGGGCGGTGTCTCCTTGACGGGCAGCACCACCCTCGAGGCCTACCAAACCAGAGCTGTGCTCAAGCCACGCCGACAAGATCAGCGCCTCCATCGCCGACCTTCCCGAAGTGGTCCTCGTCGCTGGCCACCCTGGCGATGTTGAGGCTGTTGGCGGGGGCGTGCAGACATTGGAGTACATGCCCTATGCGATCATCGCCCAGCAAATACGAAGATGCGTCGAAGATGAACTTTGTGATCGTGCCCGAGCAGTGGGATGAGAGGGGAATGCGGCGGATTCGATCGTTGGCTGGACCCTGGCGGCTTGTCGCGAGGCCCTCGGCGAGAAAGCAGCTTACCACTCAGCCTCCATTGGCAGTTTGTCGGTCGCCATGACAAACGCGGTCGTCAGTATCCTCGCAGCGGAGGGTCCAGATCTCTCCACCCTTGCGGCCAAGACGCACGCGCAAATCGCAGTGCAGACCTGCTTCGGTTGCTTCGGGAGACTTTCTTGGGAGTCGAACGGCATTGTCAAGAAGCCTATGTATGGCAAGCATAAATAGGGTGGCGATTACGCGAGTCGCTCCAGAGGGCGCCAGCACTGCCTTCTCCGCCCGTCAGGTCGCCCAGCTACTGGCGCTCCGACAGCTCTCCTCCGCGTTGTTTTTTTTCGTTTGCGCTGCATCGCTGTGCAGCTTGAAGTCGCGAGTTTACGATTCATGCGCCCCACCGTTTGAGCGCTTCCGAACTGCAGCCGCGGAGCTTATATTTCCAAGCGCAGCTTTGGCGTAACGCTCATTTGGCATGGCTAGCCGGTATGTTTACTATAATATGGCGTTGCTCTCTGGCCTGCCACCCCACAGTCTCGCAGCGTGCTTCCTGGTGGTGTGTTTGTTTGCTGTTGAGTCCTCAGGATGCCTAACCGATGTTATGCTAGTACCTTCTTGCCCTTTAAGCTTAGACATCCGTCGCGTGAGACTGCCACACCTTGGCGAACAGAGGAAACAAACAGGACGATACGCTGTTGCATTCAGGTTCGTTCATCCAGTGGCTAGGCGGTGGTCCTGATATGCATGCTCGTGCATCGGTGCTCTCTCGCAGCTCGGGCCAGCCGTGTGACAGGTTCACAGCGTGGATGCAGGCATGTATGGTTTTTGTGTCGGCTTGTATGGGATTCACGGATTGTGGACATGTGCATGTTCGCAGCCACCAGCGCCGACGGGAAGAGTGCGTGAGTGTGGGAGTCAGGCAAAGTCTTTGGGCAAGAGCAGTATCGGTTGTATTGTCGTTCTGCCAGGCTGCGCTCCTTGTCTGCCTCAGGGCCCGATGGCAGCCGTGGAGGTCGACGAGAAGGCCCTCCATGACGCGTCCGCGACGGAGATGAACAAGCGCAGGCGTATCGACGAGGAAACGTCCAGAGGTATGGGGAGAAGGACGGGTAGAATTAAGTTGGGCCTGTCCCTCTACAGGAGGAATATTCAAAAATGGTCAACAACATAGTTTTGGGACGATTTTTGTAATTCGTTTTGATGATGTTGGGGTATGTTTTGGCTATTTTGGTTTCGTCCAAAATCCGCCTGTAGGGGGACCTGCCCGACCTAAGGGTAGGGGGATAGAGAGCTGGATGATTGGGAGGAGTGGGTCGCGAACAGGAGAGGACTTCGCCGACGATTGCGACGACGTGGACGGGGGGCGCGGGGACAGGTAGAGGGTACGATCATCAAAAACGTGTGTGGCATTCTGGTCCAGTAGGGGGGCAGAGGCTGAGCAATGCCTTTCGAGGAAGGGGGGGCGTCCTCCAGCCCGCCCTGCCCTCCCTTCCCTTCCACCCTCCCCCCTGTTCGCTCCACTCCTGCTCCTGCTGTCACCCTCTTTGTTATCCTCTCATCTATTATTCCCTCCCTTCGATTGTCATCTCCTTCCTCTTCCATGGTTTTTCCCCTCCTGCTTCGACCCCTCCCACTTCCTCCTCTCTTCTTTCTCCACTCGCCCTGGGACCTCTCAGAAGCTATGAGAAACCTGTTGTCGTGCAGCTGAACGAATTTCCAGAGTCCACGAACGGTCCATCAAAAACATCCTGACATTCTGTCTCCTCCTCATCATCATCAGCATCACATCTTCATCATCATCTGTCTTCACCCTCAACCCCTCTTGGAACAGTCCTGCATATCGCCGAACGCATGCGAAAACCTCCGAGCATCGCCGCCCTGGCGCCGATGGCCTATAGGCGTCTACAGGTCCTGCGGGGTGTAGGCATACGGCGCGCGGTGGCCGCTACACCCGCGGGGCAGAACCATCTACGGATACTTTAACGTATAGCTTCCCCCCCTCCCTGCTCCTTCCTCGTTGGACGAACGCTGGATTGCGTGAGCCGTCGCGTCTTGATGGCCGCGATCCGCGGAAAACCTCGACGGGATAAAGCTCAGTGCATGCACGATGGACAGGAATTCGACAGGAATAGAGGCCCGCAAGGGCACCGAGCTCTGCTCCCCCCCTCCACCTCCCCCTCCTCCCTACTCCCCCAGCGGCCAGGGATTTCCTCAGACCCGCGCCCCGAACCCCCTCCCAGAGTTTGCCACCCGTCCCCGCGCGCCCTCCGGGTCGCCTCTCCCCGCCCAGAGCGCTGCGAGAGTTAAGCACCAAGTGACTAAAAGGGTATACTGACTGGGAGTTCTGTTCCATGTGCACGACGAGGATCGTTTCTCGATGTGCGTGCTATCTGGTAAGGCTTCGGGTTGAGCGCAGACAGCCCCCCCGGGTAGTCCTGGTTGGCCTCAACAGGCCCCCCCCGAGTATCGGGCGGGTTGTAATCGGGGGTGGGGACTGCCATGAGGGGTGAAGAGAAGGGCCCTCAAGGGGCACTTTCGGACCCCTTTGAGGCCCATGCCAGCTCCAAAAGGGAGCCTAAAGTACTCCTTTAGGGCCCCGGTCTTCACCCACCATTTGCCATCCCCCATTCCCAGACATGCGACGTCCTGATTTTTTCTGGACGGCGTCCCAGGATGTCCAGACCCTTCATTTCCCCGGGCCTGTTTTTCATCCTGAGTTTTTTTTGCGACACTCCCGAGGCCTGGCGAGGGCTCCCCACGGCCGAAAATGGCCGAAGACATCCCGTCCTGAATTTTTATTCGACGCGATCATGTCTGGGTTAGCACCTGCCCGAGAGTAGTCCCAGCTGGCCTCCGCAGGCCCCCTGAGTAGTCTGGGGGGGGGCCTTCCCACCCCCGGTTCCGCCTCAGACGGCGCCCCCTTGGGCGCTATCCGCGCCCCAGGCGGAGTATGGAGGCCGCCTCGAACTGCTCGGGGGGACTGTTGAGGACAGGAGGAGGAGGAGGAGGAGGAGGAGGAGGAGGAAGAGGAGGAGGAGGAGGAGTAGCAGGGGCCCTGTTGAAGCCAGCCCAGGCTACCTGGGGGAGCTGTCGGCGTGCAGCCCGAAGCCTTGCCAGTACTAGCCGGTGTGTTAGGCGATGATGACATGACTTCCGGAGGGGGAAACAAGCACGCAGACGCGGTGAATCGTCGGCTCACATGACAGGGTAGGACTATTTGGAAAAAGTGCGTGTGTGTGTGGGTGGGGGGGAGGCGAAAACCCATACAAGCTTCGAAGCTCTGTGGGGGATCCTCTTCTCTGCACTTGGCTGCTGGTCCCCTGGGTGGAGGCCTCCCCCCCCCTTGGCAGCCCGGCGCGCGAGGGGCGGGGAGGGGCCAGGCCGTGGGCGGAGCGCACACGCCCGCGGCCCCGCGGCCTCGCCCAGGGTGCGGGCCCCTGGGCCGCGGCCGTGGAGAAGGAGGAGGGGGAGGAGGGGGAGGAGGAGGAGGAGGAGGAGGCGGAGGAGGAGGAGGAGGAGGAGGAGGAGGAGGAGGAGCGGAGGCGGGCCGTTTCTCCGAGGATGCCCCGCGCGATGTGTGCAGGCGGACCGAGGCGCGCCTCCTTCAATCTACTACGTTCCTCTCTCCCCTGGTGGCGTCCGGGAAAATATTCGGCCCCCCACCGCGCACGGATTTCTTGACACACAGGCTTCCCGGGAAACGGGTTTTCACTTGGCTTTTTTGTTGTTGAAATGCTGCTCTCGCTGAAGCGCTGGCTTCATTTTCGGGCTAGCGCTCGTTCCGAAACGTGCCCCTGCTGCAGCGCTGGCCTTATTTCCGCGCTTCCGCTCGTTCCGAATCGTGCTCTTAATGCAACGTTGGCGTCAGTATTTCCGGCGCCATGCCACGGCATGGTTCCCGGTCCTTCCAAATATGCCCCAACATCCAGAAGATGGCCCCCCGAAAGAACCATCGATTCGTTGATTTTCTGGACTGCAGAACCCCCCCATACATTTTGGGGCGCCGCCACGCCATGCTATGTCAGGCTACACGTCCTCATGTCCCCGCTTCCGCGCTTGGATTTTGTTCGACATGCGACTCTCGCTGGATCGCTGACCTCATTCTCGGGCTATCCCTCGTTCCGAATCGCGCTCCCGCTGCAGTGCTGGCATCATTTCCGCGCTTCGCTCGTTCCGAATAGTGCTCCCACTGCAGCGTTGGCGTCATTCTTTCTGGCGCCATGCCGCGGCATGGTTTTCGGTCCGTCCAAATATGTTTCAAGATTCAGGAAATGGCCACTCGAAAAACCACAATCGGAAGTGATTACACTTTCTGTGCCTTTTTATTTTTTTTTAGACCGCAGAAGCCCTCCCCCACACTTTGGGGCGTCGCCACGCTATGCTACGTCACGTCCTCATGTCCGCGCTTCCGCGCTTGTGTTTTTGTTGTTTCAAAATGCTGCTTTCGCTAAAGAGCTGGCCTCATTCTCGAGCGATCGCTCGTTCCGAATCGCGCTCCCGCTGCAGTGCTGGCCTCATTTCCGCGCTCGTTCGGAATCGTGTTCCCGCTGCAGTGTTGGCGTCATTATTTTCAGCGCCATGCCGCGGCATGGTTGTCGGGTCTTCCACATAGGCGCCCAAATCTAGCAAATGGCCATTCGAAACAGATCCATCGAAAGTGATTACATATTCGGTGCCGATTCGTTGATCCTTTGGGCCGCAGAAGCCCCCCCCTTTTGGGGCGCCGCCACGCCCATGCTATGGCATGCCACGCGTTGATCTTCAACACCGTGCTATGCAATGTAATGCTACGCCATGCTACGACATCCGCTTGTGCGAATAGAAAGGAGATTCTGCGCCACGGTAGGGGATGGGAGGGAGGGGTAGGGCGTCAGATATAAGCCGAGCGCACCTGGCTTGGCCCTCCCCCTCTTCCCTCCCCTCCCCGCCCCGCGCGCTTGTCGTTCGTCTGTCGTCCGTCGTTTTCGTCGTCGCGTCGTGTCGTCCCCCTGCACTCTGTCACTGGGCTCCCGTCCGCTGGTTTAAAAAAGTTCAGGCGGACCGAGGTAAGAGAGTGAAGTCGGTTCGGGGAGGGTGCCCCAGCCGAGGGAGAAAAAAGACGCCACCAGCATAAACTTTTGGCCCTCCGCTCGGGTTTCTTGGGTCCGCGCTGGGCCCCCCCGGCGGCGCCTCTGGCGCCGCCCCTGGCACGCGGAGCGCGCCAGGAAGGGGGGGGCCCGCGCGGATCGAGCGCAGCGCCAAACGTTAATGATTGTTGGGTTTGATCCTCCTCCGAATGCTCTTGTCTTGTGCATCCTGGGGAGGGTGCCCTAGGATGTTCTGCCAGTGTTGGCCGACGGAGGTCCTCATGTTCTAGAACGGTGTCCGTCTGGCCCCGGCCCGACTGCATCCGTGCAGCCGCTCCTCCTCCCCCCCGACGGTGGTGGCCTGAACCTGGCCGGCCTCGTGAGTGCGCTGCCGCCGCGCTGGGGCTGCAACGGCCCTTCCACTGCGTGCGTCTGTGGCCTCCGCGAGGGGCAGCGGACCGTTCGGCGTCCGCCCCCATCGTCTCCCTTCCCAGGGAACCTGGCATCGCTCGGACGTGTGCTTTTTTCCCTTCGCGAGAACCATCGAGGAGCATCCTGGACCATCGAGCCCCCCCCCAAAAAAACACGCACGACACCGAAAACACGCACGG